GGTGTTTACGTCAACTCACACCAGTACGAGACTTTCGCCTTCGGGGAGTCCGAGCTCCATAGTTCCGACGTAGAAGTAACTCTTCACTCACGGTGTTTACGTCAGCTAACTCAGGTAGAATCATTTCGCCTAGGGGGATCCAGCTCATAGTTCCGAGTAGGAGTACTCTTCGCTCAGGTTGTTTTACGCTGCTTAACTCAGGTAGAATCCTTTCGCCTAGGGGGATCCAGCTCATAGTTCCGAGTAGAAGTACTATTCGCTCAGGTTGTTTTACGTAGCTTAACTCAGGTAGAATCGTTTCGCCTAGGGGATTCAACACTTTATCAATAATACAAGGATACCAACCCATAATTACATTCCTTCCTAGTGGTACAAGGCTCCTACCCCTGGCTACGGTTCCTTTCAGTAATATGGGATACTGTGCTATAATTCCACTGCCTTTGGTAACACAGGGTGCTACCCTGTGGTTGCGTATCCTCACATAGCTAGTTTATATTACTGTCTTTTCTTTATTTCAATAAATTAAATAGTTTGTAGCTTTCTCTAATAACTCACAAAATTTTCCTAGTGCCAGACCGGGGCAGAAAAATTTAGTTCGTTTTGTTCGTCTTTGATGGCTTTGCCAGCTCTGCCGCATAGCCCAAGTGACGATTAAATCTTGCAGTTTCAGTTTCTCATCAGAAGAAAGAAGTCCTTCGATCACAAGATAGTCGGAGTTAGTTTTGATAATGTGTCGGCAACGCAACTTCTCAAGTTTTATTTTCCCAAAATTCTGATCCAGAAAGAAAGCAACCGAGACTAAGTCATAATTTCTTCTTTAAAGAGAATCAAGATCCGGTCTAAGGTCAACAGAAGAGAGCAAGTCAAGAATCAATATTTGACTCCAGAAGACACGTAGATAGGAATTTTGTACTCTTATTTTGCAGACATATGTAGTGCTCTTCTCTTTTTCTTTTGATGTAAGAAGCAGTAACAGTAAGAGTAACAGCAAGCAACAGCAGTCTTAACTCCAGTGTCTGGTAGTCCAGCTACCAAATTTTTCTAGAACTACACTAACCTGATTCCTTTATAGCCAAGGATATGTAGGCAACCTCAGAAGCAAGGTTTGGTCACTATTTTTAAAAATTTGCTTCCCATGGATTGATATGTGAGCAAAAATTAGCTACGGCATTTATTTGTCTTTGCACGAAAACTCTTCATATTCTCGAGCAAAGAGGGGCAACTGTAAATGCCTAATTTTTGCCATGTCTTTTTCTTCTATATATATATATATATATATATATATATATGTGTGTGTGTGTGTGTGTGTGTGTGTGTGTGTGTGTGTGTGTGTGTGTATGTTCTTATTTATGTGTATGTAGGTTTTAAGAGTTTTTATTATGATTTAATTAAGAGAGGAACAAGACTTTGGGCTAGTTTCATTTTAAAGTGAAATGGGCTAAAAATTCGGACCAAATCATTGGCCCAATTGCACCAACCCAGACCAATTGATGGCTTGCCAAGACCCGGATCAAAACGACGTAGTTTTATAATAAAACTACGTCGTTTCACTAAATGAAACAAGATCAAATCTTACCCATCCATTCCATCTTGATCCAATGGATCTCATTCACTCTTGGCCTAGGTATTTAAAGCCTCCAAAATCTGAAAATTTTCCCCATTTCCACCCATAATTCTTTTCTCTTCTTCTCTCTTATCACTCTCTCCCCCCTCTCTGCCACGCCGCCCCACCGCCGCCCATCGCCGCCAGCCGGAAATCGCCGCCGCCGGCGGCAACCCTCCAATCCACCCCAATATTTCACCATCTCTTCCCCTCTTTCTACCTATACCACTCATATCCTCCAAATCTCCACCAAACTCCGTAAATCTAAGCCTAACCGAAACCCTAGCCGCCGCCCACCACCCCAAACTCCAAAAATTTTACACCACCGGCATCCTCTTCTCCCCCTCTTTCCATATATCCAACTCAAAACCTCAAAAAACCCAACCACCGCCGGCAGCCACCCCTACTGCCGCCGTCCCGCCGCCGCCGTTTGGCCGTGTCACTGCCGCCCCTCACCTGCTGCCTCTCGTTTCTCTCCTCAAACCGTCCCCGAGCAGGGTTGTGTTGTTGATATCATTGGAATCGAACTCGGATTCGCCGGAGTTTTGGTTTCAAGAATATCAACAATAGAAGCTTGCTCGAAGTCGTACCACTGCCTATCGTCATTTCCCGGATGCTCGAGTATATGGTAAAATCGTAATCCTCTTCCCCGTATTAATTTTCTGTTTTTTTTGGGGGTTTTAGTTAGAATTAGTTTCTGTCTTGTTTCTTTATTCAATCCATATATGATTATGTTTATCTAGTTGGTTTTTGTTAAATCGTTTCAGCAATAGCGTGCGTTTTGCTTGGCTTTAATAGTTAATTTTCGTTTTCTCATGCTGGTTCATAATATATGTGTTGAAGTTTAATTACATGTTTTAATACTTTGTTTAATTTGAATCAATAGGTTGATCTTGGTGTTGTTAAAATCTGAAACTTAGATATTCTTTATCATAAACTAGGGTACTAGTAGCTTGCTTTTAGTAGGGTGGCTGAAGTGACCCTTTGGCTCCTGCCATGGCAGATTTCAGGCTGTCCTTTCACCTTTTGCATAGCCTTTAGCACACAAATTCAGCCTCTTTTGGGGAGATTTTTGGTGAACTAAAATCTGTCCAAAAAGTTGGATTTTCTTTGCCTATTTAAGGGCTGCCCTTTTTTAATTATTGAGGGGACTCCATGACACTTCCAGAGAACATTTTATTTTTGCTTTGAACATACAAAAACAAAAAAAAATTCAGCAGCTGAAGCATCCTTTACTAAGCTAAAATTATAAGTCTTAAGAGCAAATCTTAGAGTGCAAGTTCTTTTAGAGAAGTATAAGTCCTCTTTAGAGTTCGTTTCTGGGTTTCTTCTCTGAGTTTTCGGGCTGTTTTAACACGAATTTGCTGCTGATTTTGCTGTTGTTGTGCTGCTGTTTTTTATGCTGTTTTAATTGTTGGACTACTGTTTATTCTTTTGCTATTCAGGTAATCCTTTAAGACTCGTAATGTATGTATTTTCAGCAATGGGAACAACTTGAACATGCTGCACCATTTAAATGTGTTTGAGGTGATTAATAACTTGACAACAAAAGAGCTTGTACGGTATTGTTATGTATCAAGCATGTGATAATGTGAATATAGTCCTTCATAATACTTGAATATTGAGTTGCAAGTTTTTGAATGTGATATGTAAGTAGTTTATGGATTTTTAAGCATGTTTTCAAGCTATTGTATCCGAGTAACAATGCTAAGTATGCCATGAATGACTTTAGGTGTGTAACACATAACATGAGTTCATTTTAGTTGCTGAAATTCCAATGCCAACATATGCTTCTAGGACTGCTGTTATATTTTTTTTTTTTAATCTGGCCATTTTGCCAGATTTGCAAAAGTGGCTATTTTTGTAAAGTGTGCGTCTATACAATTGTGACTATGTAGTTAATGATCATAAATGCAAACTAAGTAAAGAACCAATATTGTATCAACTTTGTGCCTTTTTGAACCAAAAACTAAAAGATGGCCCATTTACCTTTAAACAACAAAATTACCCTTTTCTTCTATATAGCATTTGGCCAATGAAAATCCATTTCTTGGCCCATTTTAATAATAAATTCCAGCAGCCCAAGAGCTCTTGACAAGCTGGCCCATTTCCCCTTTAACAAGAAGTTGGCCCATCCCTTTAAAATAGATTGAATTGGTCCAACATTTATTTGCATAACATTTCCAACAATAAGGCTAGAAAATAGCAATAAAAATCAGATTTTTTATACCAATTAAGTAACTCATTTTCTTTCAATTAATTAATTTGAATGTTAGGCAATTAGTAGGCGTGCTCTAATTCCACGGATTCGCTTGCGTAACGTGATGTTCAACATTCAGTAATTTAATTCAACAAGGTCATACAATATTCGTTAGTTTTCTAGTTAATTTTTAATTTAATAAACTCTTTGTCAATCTCGTGGATTCGCTTGCGTAACGCGATAATTGACTTTTTAATAAATTTTAAAATTAAATTCTTAGAATATAGTAATTTTCCCAGAAGCAAATAACTTGCTAACAATTATTTGTCATGACTGCGGATTCGCTTGCGTAGCGCCGTTATGACTAAATAATAAATTTCGTCGATCACGCATTCACTTGCGTAGTGTGGTTATGACTTTTTTTTTATATTATTCAAAAATATTCTTTAAATTTTCTAATAATCAAGAGATAAAAGCAGATAGGTA